CTTAGCTATAACTACTCGAATTCAATTGTTAGAGATAAAAGCAATTTGTTTATTATAATCAAAACATGAAGCTAATTATAGGTCAACAATTTCCCCCTTTTTGATTATGACAAACAAAGATGATTGGAAATAAATTGAAAAGCGAGAACATGTTAGATATCACATATAGCTTATACATTCTCCCTATCTTTCATACATGTATTCCCCCTTTCTCATATAGGTCAAGCATGCATATCATCTTATGACATAAAATGATGCACAATTTGAAGAAGTATAATCTATCTTCACTTAAAACCGTGAATTTTATCGACAGTGCTAAATTGATATTTTACCTCTCAATTTTCCATACAAAATCGCAAAGTAATCATAAAAATGGCCAGCTTCGTAAATAAAAAATCAAATTAAAAAATGAGAGTTCGATATGAATGTATATTAAACATAAAAAACGCAAAGGTCAAATTATTCAAATTAGGTTTCGTTATTTTTCCTAACAATAAATTTGGTCGAATTTGTTTATAGAATACATACACTTAATAGATGAAAATGACTTAACCAGAACTCAGAACCGAGATAAGAAGTTAAAAACTAAGAAAGAATGATGAATCCTCTAATGCCGCTTTGATTTTCAAGCTTTCCTCATTCAAGATTTTTTAAATTTGTTCCAAACTGTCCCCAAGTTGCCTACACCAGACAAAAATTCGCGAGGACTAAATTTTCCTCCTTCGAGAAAACTTCAGAGAGGAAGCTTTTTGTTCATCAGAGTTTCTTCCGTATGAAAAACTTCTCAAGGAAAATTCACTGGGACGAAATTCCATAGAAAATATTTATGACTTTTCGACTTCATTGTTCTTCCTTTGCATCTCTCAGGGATTGTATTTTGTCAATTGTTTCCACCTCAATTCGATCAATGCCGTCATGAAATTCCTCTTCTCGTCACTTTTGTCATTGTTGTCTGTAAAGCACGGGATTTATTCTAAACACGCAAATGACAGCCAAAGATTCAAGATGGACTTTCAAGTTAAAAGGGCAAAATGATATTAAAACTTGGTTTTGTCCGCTTGCTAAAACCCATTTTCGTCCAAACTTATTTTCATCCGCTCATTTCCCCAAAAAAAATAATAATAATAATAAGGGAAAATTTCATATCTAAGATTAAGTATGGCTCATTTCAAAACTAGAAACTCGGTTTAAAACTTCAAAAATCAAGTATTAATTCAATTTTATTTCTGAAATAATTAATTAAATATATATTTTAATAATTCAATATATTAAGGTCGCAAAATAACGAATTAATTGGTCAAAAATCATATATCGATCACAAATCAAAAATTTTATATGGCACAATTTATTGATCAATCGTAAATCAAAAAAATTATAAGTCATAATTTATTTATCGGTTACAAATCACAAATTTTATAAGTCACGACTCAAACTTTTGTGACACATTATTTATTGGTTACAAGTTGTCGGTCATAAATCATAAATTTTATAAGTTACAACTTATTTCACGATAACAAATTATCAAATTAATTGGTCACATGTTATTTCTCAACCATAACTTAATAAATTGTGGGTCACGATCACTTTTTTTATGTCATATTATTTATTGATCACAAATTAACCAATTTACTAGTCATAGTCAACCAAATAATTGATCACAAACACCCCTACCCCATCCTACCCCAACCACCACTACCACCACCACAACTACACCAGCACCATCGACACCACGACCATCACTTTAACCTCCACAAAACTAACACCAAACCAACACCACCACCGCGACGAGCACTAATGCCTCACATGGGCGCGATGAAAGTCGTTGCGACACTTAAATCAGCTCCGCTTCCATTTTCAAATCGACCACCCCAAAACCACGATGATTGTCGCGACAAACACCGCACAACAGCGTGCAGATCAGTGCCTCACACTGTGGATGATGCTACCACGCTCTCATCAGCGCCACTGGATCTGAAAGTGCAACTTCTATTTTTAGCTCGACGCTGCATTTTCATATTCGAAAGCGCTGCCATTTTCTGAAACCAACCCCATTTTCATATCAACGCTGCTCGGGAGAGAGAGCGGCAATAGAGAGAAGGGAGAGAGAAGTTAGGGAGAGAAGAATGAGGAAAGATTTAGGGTTTGAAAATGAAATTTAATGGGGTGCATGGAGGTAGGGTGGGTACATAGATTAATTTAATTTTATAAAATTATCATTAATATTGAGTTGTCATTTGATTTTTGTATAAGCAAACTTTAAATCTGATTTTTGGAAATGGTAACTTAAAACATCTGATTCTACGTAATTTTCGCTAATAATAATATGCATGTAAACCCAAAACTTTTTCTTACCTTTCAACAACATATTCTCCAGAAATCACTATTCAAAAAATTATATTCTCAAAAACTCTCTTCCCAACAGAGCTCAATGCATGCTTCGGTATACATGAGTTTCTATTCTTATAGTACAGAAGGCATACAGTTAGATAGCTGGTACTCATTAATCTAAGCTGGTACTTATTAATCTGTGTAATTCGATTCAAGAAAGTGAGGCTTGATCTTTAATCAAACAAGGAAATCTTCTTCAAATGATGCTTAGAAACTTGTTGATTTTCATAGCTTTAGAAGTAGAGAGAGGCCTTTATGGTTTTTGTATGCATGTATAATATTATTCGAAGATTACTTCATGCTAATTGGTAGCTGCTTGTCCTCGTTTCGCTGTATATTTGGAAGACTTCAAGCACGAAGTAAAGGAATACTGAAGTATAGCTATTAGACGAAAAGTAGCTTCAAACATTTGTAATATTTCCTTGTGCAGCCTAAGAAGTGACTATATAGAAGTATGCTAAAGGAATTTTAGATTAATTGAGACATGCGGGTAGGTAGAGACATAGAAACAGAGAAGAATAAGTTCAAATCAATATTTCATTCAC